CAAGGAGCAGTCAAAAGTCGAAAGAGGCATTATGTACATGGCTAACAGAAATCTCCTATCCTCTACCAATCTATATAAGTTTTGCAAAATTCATGTATTGATCCCTAGCATCAAGAGTCAAGTTGAATAGAACGAAGGTCAGCTCAACTCATGTACTCACGCATCAGCTTTTTCATATCCATAGAATAATCTTTAAGCCGCAACTGACATGGTGTCAAATGCTTTTGAGATACTGGTAATACTCGGCGTATCACATTTTGCTCTATATTCTTTCAATCTTTCAATCTTTCATGAGATATTAACCCTATTATCCCCACAGATCACATAGCTTCTCCATCTACCTTTTAGCAACTGTATTTTGAATCAATGTTTTGCAGAACACTAGGTATCTCCATTCACTTTTCAAATCCTTAAGCTTCAACTATTTGAGGTTTGTTGAGCAGTGCTTTTCCATTGTAAACTTACGCATTAGTAAATTAAAAATAAGTAAAATTGAGAACGGGGAGCACGGTCTAATGCCGTTTACAGTTACTGTGGAGATGACTTTATCTAGAGTAGCTCACATGACTCATTCAATAAGATTGTTCCGAAAAAGAAAAATTCCAGGTGAAAAGAAGTATGCGTGCAAAAACTGTGGACGTCGATTTGCTCTACGCAGTTATTTGAAAAGGCATCTGGAAACCTCCTGCAGGATGGACGAAAACTAAAACAATTACGTGGTTATGAGAGAATATTATTCATCAAATTAGTTTATTACCTATTCATGTGCATTTGTATATAACATGCCTAGTCGCTGTAGCCTAATCACTTACTCATGAATTATCTTAACACTATTCGTAATGCAACAGCTTACTTTAATAATTGGACTCTTGAAAGTCATCTCGCCTTCCTTTACAACTGATTCTCCAAGTAGATCGCTTTAATCTTCTACCTCTCCTTAACCAAAATGGTCTTTAAAAAAAGTTCCAAATGTAGAAAAATCGAACACCACAATTATCCCATGATTCATGTTGATCTCGCTCAATTAACACTTTTCAATGTGTTTTCTATCCTCTTGGTTGTATATGTTGTAAGGTTCTAGTCAGTGCCGTCATGTACAGCTTAATTAATAAAGTGAATTTCGAACATTTGTGTGCTCCTATCTTTTCGCATTTCATATGGTAGCATCCGGTATTACTCTCTGAGAAGTGGCTTTACGGAATTTGCTAATTTTGAAAATTGAAAGATTTTCTGAAAGTGCAATGGGCTGTTCTCCAATAGGCATTGATGAATATAACAGGAATCGACTCAACAGGCTAGAGACTTTGTCAAACTAAATTTTTTAGAGATTCTTAAACATTATTTATAAACAAATAAATCTCATTGTAAGGTGAGAACTTAAACAAAAGTGAGGGCGAACAATGTAGCAGGACGGTAAAGTGCATCAATCAGCAAATCACAGTTTCTGATACTGACTGGACTCTAACACGTGACTCTTCTTAGCTATAGCTCTTTTTCTGTTCTCACATCGCTTAATGCATAAATTCTCACAAGAAATACAATTAAAAAATATACATCCACCTCATATCGTAACTCTTTGGGATTACGGTACCGAATCAAAGAGTTGAAATTATTACGGTATGGTGATAAGCTGGTAGGCTTAACTCATTGTTATCTGACAATTCTATAATGCTAAAGTGCTGGTGTTACACAACGTGTAGGGTAGCTGCAGCGGTCCTACATTTGATATAATTTGCACATATCAATTGATCTACAACATTTTTCCAAAATTTTAAAAATCGTATTTCGTTCTACAGAATTAAGCATTATTTGGCGTTTAGCCAAATATAACCTAGACATTCCTTGCTTTCTAGCGGAATAAGCTAAACCTCACCCGTTTCCACCTGTTAAACTTTAAAAAAATCCTTGTTAAGGTATAAAAGCAGTTGTCCATGATTCAGTGTCTACCATTCTCCCAAAGTTTTACGTAAGTCTAAACTAAGTTAGTCAAAATACACTGCTATTTGCCCACTTTTCCAAAATGTCTATCTGCAGAGTTATTGATTCGCTTGCAGTTAACATGTAGCTAAGTCCTATGGTGAAGGATTCAAGAGGTGGAACATAACATTCAAGATGCGCATCATTTGGTATCACTCAAATTATCTCGAGCTCTTGGAAAAAACAATTTTTTCGAAGAGCCTACAATAGCAATGTTCTAGCCTGTCTTTGAGGCAACATTGTTCGATTATCTCGAGATATAAGAAACTACATAATTTTCCCATCAAACATAGTTGACTTTTGCTTCAGTTATAAGGCGCTATCTTGTCAAATAAATTTGTAAATTTATTGAGGCCAATAACACTGCAAAGTTCTGAAGTTCTTACAATGTTTCAACTACTGATTAGAGGAAGTTCTCGTTTTGAAAAGTAGAAATTTTGGAATGGAGGTCAGGTACATAATGAGC